TAAGAAGCAAGAGGTGGGTGTGGCTGGATGACCACACTTCTGGCAACATGGGGGTGCGGCCTAATATGCTAATGAGTTTCTGCTGTTGGGTGTGGTCTATTATGCTAATGAGTTCCTGCTGGGCTTTTTCTACAAAAAGAGCCCTGCGTGTAACCAAATAGTTCTTCACCAAGGTACCTTTCCTGATGGCTGGCCTGCGTTCCCCTGCCCATGCTCCTGTGGTCTCTTGACATTACTGAGGTTATGACTCTTGCTGCTGCTGCTTCTTCCTCCTGTCACGTGACTGTGATGTGACCTTGCCAGCCGCTCAGCGGAATCCCTTGGCGTTTAGGAGGTGACTCCCAGCCCCGGGGAGGTGGAAGGTCACCTGCCGGCGTGTTTTTCTGACCAGGCCTGTTGCTTCCGCCCTGCAGACCAGATCAACCTTCTTAGCAAGCGGATGGTGGACTGGCTGAGGTACGCCAGCGTTCAGCAAGGAACGCCCCAGTCCTCGGGAGGCTTCTTCAACCCCCGCGCACGGCAGGTGAGGGAAAGCCAAACAACACGGTCAAAGAGGTTTGTTTCTCCGTCTTCTTTTTATTAACATTAAACGAGACTGCCAAAAATAATAACAAAATCGGTAAAAGCGGATACTGGTAATGATATTTGTTTGTCCAATGGTATTTGTTTGCTGATGATATGTGGCTTCCCCCAGCCGCCCTGCCAGGAGCCGCACAATAGGCGTGAAAGAGCCGCACACGGCTCCCGAGCCACAGTTGGGTCACCCCCGCTATCGTTCAATACCCTCTGAAACTTCTGAGAAGCGCAGGAAGCCATCTGGCTGCTCAAAGCGTCCGCGCCGACAAGTCTCTGTGCGTCGCGCTGCTCCTTGCGGCCGACATCCACAACCTTTGTTCCGCCTTCTCCCCCTCGCAGCCTGGCCCCGTCACGGAAGTGGACGGGACGGTCGCCACGGACTTCTTCACCGTGCTGTCGGTCGGCCAGCATTACACGGAGGACCAGTGGCTTAACATGCAGGCATTCTCCATGCTCCGGAAGTGGCTCTTGTGCTACGGGAGCGGCGGGGCGAGTGGTCCGAACTCGGGTAAGGATTCGGCGACTCGCGTAAGGAGGGTGTGAGGTCGTGGTCGTCCGTGGCTGAGCAAAGGCGCGGACTGGGCGATTCCTGCCTAAATGGGCGTGGGCCAGTCGGCTTGTGTTTGTCCCGCCTTCTGACTTGAAACTTCCGAGCATCGCCGAGAGCCGAGCAGGAGAAGTTATTTAATCAAAATGATGATGATGATGATAATTAAAAAGAAAAAGAAAAAAGGGAGAGGCCGTTCTGCCTCCGAAGGTGGAATGTGGCGTTAGCTAACCCTTTCCTCCCAGGACATCTTTAATGTCCTGAGAGATATGTGGGGATTCTCTGCCGCGGATGGTTGGATGAAAGGCACCGATGCGCATTTCAAAAAGCTGTACTGGTTGCAGGACCCATGAAGCAGGACATGTTGGCCTATTGGCCTCTACTTTTAAAAAATATTTTTCATACGTGCACGTGTGCACCTGGAAGCCATGGTGACCTCTGGTGACTGACCCCTACTGGGGTCCTGGAGGATATCCAGAGAGGCGGCTGAATGAAGCCTGCCCCTGCCTCCCGGCTGCTGGTATTCCTTGGAGGTCTCCCATCCCAGTACTTGCCAGAGTCGACCCTCAGAGTCGAGCCAGTGTGGTGTCGTGGTTAAGTGCGCGGACTCTAATCTGGGAGAACCGGGTTTGATTCCCCACTCCTCCACTTGCACCTGCTGGTGTGACCTTGGGTCAGTCACAAGCTCTGGCACAGCTGTCCTTGAAAAAGAGCAGTTTGTGCTCTCTCAGCCCCACCGACCTCACAGGGTGTCTGTTGTGGGGAGGGGGAAGGGAAAGGAGTTTGTGAGCCGCTCTGAGACACCTTTGGGTAGTGAAGGGCGGGGTATAAATCCAATCTCTTCTCTTCTTCTTCTTCTTCTTCTGCTCAGCTTCCGAGATCTGACGAGATCGGGCTTGCCTGGGCTACCTGGGTCAGGGCCGGTCCTCTACTTTTGTTAGGATGCCATTTGAAATAATGTCAACAACGCTCCTGTGAGACCAAAGTGGGAGGCTGCCCGCTGCATCTCTGCATGCTTTACTGCTCACCTCTCTGCCTTCTTCCTGTCCCTCTGCTGAGCACATGGGCCGTTCCGTCAGGTTTTGGCAGCCAGTGTGATTGGATCGCCTTTCAGTCCCCTCCCCGTGTAGACGCCAGCGTAGCGTTGTGATCGGCATACTGGATTAGGATCCAGGTGACCCAGCTTCCGATCCCGACTCTGACCTTCGACCAGTCGACTCTTAGTCCAGCTTACCTCGCAGGCTTGTTGTGAAGAGAAAAAGAGGATGGGAGAAACGTGCATGGTGCTCTGAGCTCTTGGGGGGAAAGGTGGGGTGAAACGTACTCCACCTGCTCTTGGGGAGAATCACCTGCACCGAAACGGGTCTTTTGAGATCGTTAGATTACCTTCTTTGTGTTTGAAAAGCAAGCCCTCTTATACCCCTAGTGTAGCCAATCCTCCAAGAGCTTACAGTAGCTCTTGTAAGAAGAGCTCTGTAAGCCCTTGGAGGATTGGCTACATTAGGGGTGTGTGGCCTAATATGCAAAGGAGTTCCTGCTACAAAAAGAGCCCTGCCTCTTGGGAGGAAGGAGTGACGTGGGTCTCTAGGAATGGGGGGGGGGGACAGGACAGTTTCCTGAATCTGGGCACCGTCTTGCTAATCTGTCACTTCCGTGTCTTGCTGCGCCTGCTCTCTTCCCCCACAGATGACAAATCGGAGGTGGACGGCTCCATCATGTCGATGGTCTCCGTCACCTCCAGTTCCAGCCGCTTGCTCCCCCCGAAGGAACGCCTGAGGGAGAAGGCCTTCGAGTACTGCCAGCGGCTTCTGGAGCAGAGCAACCGCCGTGAGTCGGGGCCCTTTCACGGCATAACGCAGAGCCAGTTTGGTGTCGTGGTTAAGAGCGCAGACTCTAATCTGGGAGGACCGGGTTTGATTCCCCGCTCCTCCACGTGCATCCAGCTGGGTTCTCCCAGGGCTGTTCTCTCACCAGCAGTCCTCGAAAGAGCTCTCTCAGCCCCACCTACCTCACAGGGTGTCTGTGGTGGGGAGGGGAAGGGAAAGGAGATTATAAACTGCTCTGCAACTCCTTTGGGTAGGGAAGGGTGGGGTATAAATCCAATCTCCTCCTCCTCCTCCTCCTCCTCCTCTTCTTCTTCGGTCAGTCACAGTTCTCTCAAGGGCAATCCTCAAAAGAGCTCTCTCAGCCCCACTCTACCACATGCAGCTGCTGGTGTGGCCTTGGGTCAGTCTCAAGTTTTCTCAGAGCTGTTCTCTCAAGGGCAGTCCTTGAAAGAGCTCTCTC